GCCGGCACTGCAGCTCGAGGCCCGAGCACTCGCTCCACACTGAGCCTGTGCAGTGGGAGCGGCTGGAAAAACACATCCACATAATTGTGTGTAACAGCTTATGATCATTGGGTTTTAGTTAGTGGCACAGAAGGGACATGTCTGAATTTTTACTTCAAAGGAAAGAAAGGATGATGGATTACAAAATATAGATTACTTCTACCCCCTCCCTCCCCACACAAAGGGAAATCACCTAATCTAACCAGCTCTTTCCAAATTAGAAAAAAAAATTGGTAAAGGTGCAGATTTTTGATGGGAAAAATGAGGAATTGATTTATCTTTTAAATTTTAGTGACTGCTTTCTGATGTTCTCTAGCTCTGCACAGAGAGCATCATCTAGCAATTGTTGAAGGCATTAGTAGACAGTATTGGCAGGAGTGAAGCAAGCATCAACAAAAAGAGTTTTAAATCAGTACAGGTCTCCCTAAACTTTGTATTCTTTAGGGATGTACCTGAGAGCAGTTTGGCTCTGTGCATTTATTTGCAAACTGGATTTTCATCCTCAGATGCTTGCTGTTGACAGCCCACCAATATATTCTGTCCTATTCTTTTTTTAAATTTTCACCTTTTTTTAAATCTTTTTTTTTAAACTTGCATTTATTTCTTTAAAACCAGCAACAAAAGCCAATCAAACAAATAAACACCCTGCAATTTGTTTAATGAGTTGGTCATAACATTTCATGTCAAATTTGGCACACCTCTGGAAAAATGTTTAAGAAATTTGAAATGTGTGTCATAGGTTTTTAGCTGCTTTAACCTAATGAGGCTACAAATGAAGGTATTACAAATTCTTCATTTAAAGGCAATGAAGAAATATCCTAGTCGTTTAAAGGATAGCCCCATTTTAGCCAGTTCCTACTGCTGCTACAACAGATGCAAAATTATGCCACACAAGCAATGTTTGAGGCATTTTTGTCTCAAAGTTGCTATTTAATTTCAGATAAATACACAAGAGTATATATTCTTTCTGAAAATAGGTGTATTTTGAAGTTCCCCATTATATGGGACTTAGTTTTTAAACTAAAAATGTGAAGTTACATATGTCTGAGAGAAGCCTTATACCTAAAAGTGTTATGTACATTTTACCTTTTTATATAACAAGAAATTTAGATTATACATGGATTGCATACCTGTGACACTCTAGCGTTTTTTAAAAAAACCCAAAACCTACTTAAAACATTAAAAGTTTAGAGCTTTTGGAAATGTCAGACTCCATAGACTGGTGGTCTTTGTCCTGCAGTCACACAGAAGATTTTTTTTTTGTCCTATTCTGGATCCTAAGAGTTGTCTACTGAACAGTAAGCAATAAATCACCAACACGTGTTTTTCAAGTTAAGCAGATAGACATATATTTTCCACTTGCCTTTGCCAACATATTTTAAAATGTGATTGAACTATCCCCATAGAAAAATCATTCTTTCAGATATCACTCCACTCCCAAGTGGGCTTCCACCCATATCTCTTTCTTATCTGCAAAACCAGTGCTGTCCATTGAGGTTGCTATATCGCTCAAGTGCTCAGAGGGCTGTTTGAGATCTTAGATATAGGGATGATGGATTGTGTTTCTAGGATGAATTTCAAAGGGACAATCGTGTGCAGTTACTAGCTATAGATGATTGATATAAATGTTTACCCCTGTATGAAGTATTTTACAGTTTTACTTGCAGATGTGTATTTATCTTGAGTTATACTTGACATAGAGTTTCTTTCAATTTTTTTTTTAATACTATGTGTGTATTTTGGAAACCTTTTTAGATGTTAAAATTTTTGAATGGTTACAAATATTTCTTATAATACTGAATTGTTATCTGGAAACTCTTTGCAGTAACTTTTTGTATATATTTGAGGGCCTTTTTAAAAAAGTATTGTTTGTTTTTTGGGCAAAGTTTTTACAATTGGGAAGCTTTCAGAAGGGCCTTCCTCTCAACTAGGATACTAACGGAGGTAAGAGTTTTCTTAAGTATTTTGCAGTATTTTGCAGAACTAAGGATGTATCCTCAAGAAAATATTTATGGAAATAATTTACGTTTTTTTTTACAATGCTTTTGTCTGTATAAAGTATGCAACAGAACTACATTAAGAAGGAAATATTGTCTACATAAAATATTATATGAAAGTTGGTACATAATTCTGACAAAAAACCTTGCAATTCTTTAAGCCATATTGTTTTTGTTATCCTTGGATGAAAATATCAGTATTAAGTAACCAGTGTATTATTCAAGTGCTTAGACTTATATGAAAATGCTTATACGGTTTATTTATGTGTATTTGGGGAACGAGTGCTAGAAAAGCTATCACTAGACATGTAGCAAGTGAGGAGCAAATATCAGAATACTGTCACTTTATGGCCTTGTGAGGGACACAGCGGTGTTGGAAGCACCGTGGAGACTCCGCTCTCAGGAGCTCCGAAGCACAAGTGGTGGGTTTCAAATGGTGGCTCTTCCCTTCCCCGTGACTAGAGGGGAAGAAAGTTGGTTGGGACACTGTTTAACTTGACTTTCACAACTCTTTGCAGACTGTGAGCTCAGCTATGCAGTATCATCTATAGCAATAATATCAATCAAAGGATGTAAGAGAAAAGGATTGAAGTAGATTATTGTAGGGGTTTACGTTTATTTTAATTAGAACTGATAGCAATATAGAATATGCATGTGCACGTATTCGAAGCATTTTACACTTTACATTTCATGTAGTTTGATTATATTATGAAGGATTGAGTTTTTAGTTTGATATTTTACCATGTTAAAATGGGAGGTCAGCCCAGCCCTATACTGGATTCTTGCTTCCTTTAAAAGGTTATTTAGTACAGCACTCACTGCATTGTGTAATAGTGCTAAAACTAACACTATTTTATGAATTTCTTCAGCTTTAAAAAAAATTAACCTAATGATTATTACATTTGTTTAACTGTACCCACTGACCTTGTCAGATTCAGTTGGCAAATTGTGTAATTTCTTTTTCTGTAACTGTTAATAAACTTGTACAGCTAAAACAAACAAAACCTATGGACAAAGGCCTCAGAGGTACCAGTTCTGTTTCAGCAATCAAGATGACAGCTTGCTCATCTGGTGACTGTGTTGCTACTGAGACTGTAAAACCTCTGTTGTGGATTGTCCATAAAATGGCATTCCGACATGTGCCTTATTTGCTGGATAGTATACAGCTTTCCTCTAGTATTCTAGCATTTTAATGCTGTATTAAAGTATTGCAAAAAAACCAGCAAGAGTGTGGCATGGTTTTCTTGAACATTCCTTCCTGTGACAATTTACTCCCAGCTGCAGTGTGTTCCTGGCTATGGCCTGGCCAGCCACAGTCTGGTGCCTGAGGAGCAAAGCTGCCCTACCCCAGCCATGACCCAAACCATGGGAAGATGATTTCTCCACTGCAGTGAGTTCCTGTGCTGCAAGGAGCCTGGTCACATCAGGGTAACAGCTCTGCACTGCTAGAGGGACACCTTGGGTTAGTGGTGCCTGCTCCTGTTCTTAACAGCCTACTCCTTCTCAAGGAAAACCTTCTACAATCAAAGCGCACTTGTAGCCTTTGGTTGGATAGGAAAGTTTACGTGCCAGAAAGTTGCTGTAGTGAAAAATAGCATTCATCATTCTTTGCAAACACAAGAAGCTAGCAAGAACTAGACCTACTAAATGCTTGTTGTGTATTAGCAATGCTCTTCTCACACTCCCAGCCAAAGTTCAGTGGCAAGTACTTTTATCCTGAGACTGACAATACTGTAGTGACTGGAAGTTAAAATAAGGGTGTCAAGAAATTAACTTTGGACTTTACGTATCCTGCCTCTAACACAAGAGATCGCCTTCATTTAAAACAAGCAGAAAAATTTTATTAGACACACCAGCACACATTTTTTTTATGCCTGATCATCCATAGAAAACACACTGTGTATTTGCCACTTGGAGATCTTCACCACATTGACACCATTTCTATCACATAGCAAATCTGATTTCTGGGTTTGAGTCCTCATTCAGTCCACATGAGAGAGAGCAAAAACACATCCACATTTGTGCATTGTTAGGCTATACTGGGAGAAGAGGTTGAGAAGGAATTGTACAGTTCTGAAGCCTCAAAAACAGTAACTATTTCATCAAATGGTGAAATACATCCCCAGCTGAGCCCCATGGAAAGGGAAAGCACATATTCAGAACTTGTTGGTAATTTTTTTTTTTTTTAATAAAACGTACTTCACTTCTTCACTTAAAATTTGGCTACAGCACTTTCCCATAACAAACACAAGCCACAAAGCCAAGCTCAGAACTGAAATGCATCTCTCTTTTTACAGAAGACCTGGGGCTTCCCAAAAAACCCACAAACACCTCAGATTTTGCACTTAACTGAGACAAGAAAACATGCTGAGGAGAACCAAAAGTCTTAGCTCCCTATTACCACATTTTCTATGATTCCTCAAAGAAATAACATTTTCATATTTAAAACAAAAGTAGATGAAAACAAATGATATTGCATCAACAAAAACAACTCTTCCATCATTTTCATTGCCAAAGCATTTCCATTTCCTGTTCTGTGTGAACGAGGTCAAGAGACAATGCACCAACCTGCTTGCAAGGGAAGGGCCAAATGATTCCCACTACAGGAAAATAATAGTGCTTTCATTAACAGGGATTTGATATAAAACTGATACTTCAAAATAAAAAGCTGTTTCATTATTCTTAAATGAAAACCCATTTAAACAGCATACCAAGGCTCCTGCTCCTCATGTTAGTCACATCACACCAAAACTTCTCCTCAGATCCTCCCACTGTATAGTAGGCATGCAAACTAGACCCAAAATCCCAACTAGGAAGGGGAATATTCACTGCCATATAACACAGTCAAATGTTTAAAAGGCTGCTCCTGTCTCCATACCCCTCTGCAAAAGTCTGCACCCAAGAGATGTTGGCAAGGAAAAAGGAACTCAAAACACCAAGGGCTGAATGCTGACAGCCAGGTCTTTCCACTAAGAACTAAAGAAACCTCTTAACTGGATCATATAAAATTCTTACTCTTGATCAGCATATGTAGTTTGTGATTGTAGGTTTGCTTTTCTCTACTGTTCACCTCCTGGACTCAGAGAAACAGAGAATTTGTCAACTCCTGTGTGGGGACAACCAGCACTCCTACACATCAAGCACCTTTGTTTTACTGAAAGTAATGCAATTGCTCTTCCTCAACATCTGTATCTCAAACACATTTCAGATAACCAAACTCAGAAAACTGGTCATTATACCAAAACTGCAAAACCTCATTCAAACAACTTGGATTAATACCTCTCACAATCCTTTTGCAAGCTTTGTAAGACATTTTGCAAATGAACATGCTGAGAAACACCTACCTCAGTCAGCCATTATGGGGTCTTTATCCAAAGGGCCAAGGCTGAAGCAGAGGCAATGGCAGTTGTGAGGTGTTGGAGCATCCCTGACGTGCAGCCCAGGGTGGCAGAGGCAGCCAGCACTGCTGTGGAAGAGAGCAGACCCTGTGAGACAGCCCTGGGTACAGCATTGCCCAGGCACACAGCTCCAGGGCCAAAGAGATCAGGAGCAGCAGTAACCATGGGCATGCTTTGAAAGCTTTTTTTCTATGCCATGAGCTTAGCTAAATAAAAATAGAGTCATCATTAAGGTTTTCCTTTTTTTTTTTTTTTTTTTTTGATAAGAGGTAAAAAGGGACCTTATGTGCCCAACTTATCCAACCAAACTCCATGCCTGCAGAGAAAGCAAATCACAGCCAAATGCTTTATGTACATTTTAAGGGGAGTAGGGTGTAAACCAAAGATTTTCTTCTAATCACCACTCTAGTTTCCTGTTCACCAGTTGAGGCCAGAGAAGAGAATGGCAGAACACCATAAAAAAGCTTTCTCTTAGACAATTTCTGAACACATCAAAGCAGCAGGTATGGGAAATCTAACACTAGCCAGCTTTCCATTAAGTTTCTTTTGAGTTCAGCAACATAATGAGGATGTAAAACTCAAAGGATTTCCAAGGAGCCAGACACACCCCACTTGATTCACCCAGCAAAACTTGAAGGAATAATACAGGAATACACTGCAGAAACAATAGGAAGCAAGACCTCAAAATTCCCTGCTTACAAATAAAGCAATAATAAATAGACAAATAACACTAGCACAGGAAAAAAAAAACACAAAACCTCTGCTGAGTGCCCTCAGGTCAAAATTCAGAGAGCTGAAACACACAGCCCCTGGAAAGGGCCTCCTTTGTCTGTGCCTCACTGATATTGGCCACTAGCCCTGATTGCTGAGGGCTCCATCTGTGCTGGCCAGCTGTGTGGGGGGGTGGGAAAGGGGTGCAGGGGAACGGGGGTGGGCAGCGGCTCCTCCACAGGTGCAAGCGCTTCCTGCCCGGCTGTGCCTGCTGCAGCACAAACCCAGAGCCCTCCCCAGCAGCGCCACAGACATCCCTGCCACCAACAGGAATCTTCACAGCCTGCTGGGAGGCGAAGGACAGCTCCGTTCACATCTAGGAGAGACAACTCTCCTTTCAATGTTCACAGGAACTGAAAGATAACACAGTTAACGCTTCCGCAGATGTAGAAATTTCACTGAGATATGCACAAGTAAACTCCACTGCACAGAATCTTGAATAGAGCACCTTGAAATCAATCAATTAAAATTGATTCCAACATGCCCTGCTGATGCCTCTGAATGCCTTATACAATTTGTGAACACAAAGCAATTACACACAGCAACTAATATCTTGCCCCGTTACTAAGGTGTGCTTACTTCTTTGGATACTTGGCTGTAAATTTTTGCATTTCTTTAATTAAACTGAAGCAAAAGTGTCTGAGTGAAATAAAGACAACCACGCACACCAACGTGTTGCAGGACTTGAAGGAATGAAACTAGATTTATTAATTTGGGAGGTGAACAGTAATACACTGATTCAGAGTAGCAAAAGCAAAACCAGACACAAGGAGCAGCTGAGTCCCTGATGCTCAGTGAAAGACACCCCAAATGGTGCATACTGAATAACAGATTTTAAATTATTCTAATTTAAATCTAATTATTCTAATTCTAATTCCTGACTATTCTAATAGTCAGGAATAAGTGTGCTGTGTTATATCGGATTGTTCAACTCAAAGTCATAATAGTTTAAAAAAAGAGACAGAGGATTTGGAAGAACAAGAAAAGAAAGAGAAAACATCATTATATAATCCTTATCACTTTAGAAGGACAAAACAGAACTCAAAAAATTCAGGAATGATGAAATGAAAAAAATTATTTCCTTGTGAAAGGCGACTGTGCACTGGGCCTCCATCTTCTGGAAAAGAGATCATTAAAGGCAGATGTGTTAGTATCCCACAATATAATAAATGACACAAATAAGGGAAGAAATATTAATTGCTTCTACAACTCTCCTAGAAAAGAGGAATTTTGGATACAAACATCTGAGGTAATATAATTAAAACAAAAATTTCACACAGCAGACTGAAATGCATAGTCATAGGATATTCTAGCTGTCAAAAGAATAAATGAGATCAAAACCAACTACTAAACCACATTTAAAAAAACCAAAAAATTCTGCAAGGGTTGTTAACCACGAAGCTGTGACCCTGCTCAGGAAGTCCCAAAGCACAGAAGCCTCCAGCAGCAAGAGATGACGCCAGCAGAAGGTTGACTGCCTGTGGTTCATATCTTTTCCCTCAGTAAATTGCTGTAGGAAAGAGGATATCTGAGTAGGTGCTAGTCTGATTGTTGTCTGGCCCAAGGATTATTTTTTTGTGGGACACTGGGAGCTGCAATACGTGAATGTAAACATACTTCAGCCCCATATGTAAGGAAATATGTGGCACCCAGCAGGCACCTGTCAGCTGCTGGGGAAGCCTCAAACAGACGTGCCCAGGGAAATACCCTTCAATTCTCCAGCATTCATGCTCTCAAAGACCTTACAACTCACCTATGCTCACACTTAGTTGGGCTAATTGGCAGGAAACTAATTGAAAACTACCATAGCTTGTAGTCTCCAACAGAACATTGCACTACTAACAAATTTTTTTTGTTTGGATTTAATTTTTTTGAAATTCTTTGCATACAGTATTTTTAAAAAAGCTATTCGTAATTAGCTGTGTTTAAAGCTATTTTAAATGTATCTATACACTGCACTCCTGTTTGCTGGGCCACACCACCCCTGCTGCTCTCCAAGTGGCAAAGACAGGGTCTAGCCCTTGCTTGGCCTTACCATATGGTTTTCTGGGGT